CACACACCGTCTTCCATTTTGTTTATCCATCCTCTGGTCTACTTAGGTACCTTAACCCTTAGCCTAGCCCTTCTTATAACCACCATGATATCTAAATTCTATCACGGGAGATGTTTTTATCAATTTATCCTGCCTTTTTCTGAAAGCCAGAATCCCTTTATAGCCTCCTAAATGTTCCCTGTGGTCCAAACATTGAGTTTAATCTTCCTTCCTTCCTACAGGGCTTTCAGGAACACCTCTTATCACTTTGTCCTCCTCAAGGCGACTGGCAGCTTTACCCCAAAGCTTAAGATTCTCAGGCCCCTTAAACAGCTGAAGGGCCCCAGACCCTGACACAGAATGGGGTCAGCCCTGCTGATGACAGACGTTCGTGGCTTGAGTACTGCCTACTTTCAAACACAGCTTCACATAGTTTCTGAAAATTGAGTATCTACTCTGCTCTAGTGTCACTGCTCCCCAAAAGTAGACAATGAAACTTTCCCCTCCACTACTAGACTGTGTTCTCAGCAAAGGAGGTTGTTCTTGTCGGTTCCAGATGCCCACCACGCACCATGGGCCCTCGTGGCTGGTGTTTCCTACATTTCTCAGTCGAGTGAATGAATGAATGCCTTTTAGAGGCCAGAAACAGCAGTTACATCTCTCCTTGACCTGGCCGTAGAAGGAAAAGAGGATGTAGCTTTGTGAACAAGTGACCTGACGGAAGGAAGGCTGCCCGTCCCAGGAACATGCTTCTCCCTCTGTCTCTCTAGATCCCCGACGTTCGCTGGTGGTCTCTTCTCCATCTCCAAGTCCTACTTTGAGCACATCGGTACCTATGATAATCAGATGGAGATCTGGGGAGGGGAGAACGTGGAAATGTCCTTCCGGGTGAGAGAGAAGAGGGCTTTGTGGGGAATCACAACATCCAGGAGGCAGCAGGAGCCTCAGGGATGTTACGTCTGAGACTGAACTTGAAATGGTGACTGTTTCCTGTCATGGCTCTGCCCTTCTGCTCCTTTCCCTGTCCATGGCAATAGAGCTCTGGCCATTAGATTGAATCACTTAGAAAAATTAGTGGGCTGAGGGAACAACTAGTTTCCCAGAGGGAAAGAATAATAGGGGCTATTAAGGACTGGACATCTGGAGATTCTTGTGAAGTCTATGGGAAAAGGGTTAGGGTGAAGGTAGAAACTGGTTAGTAACAAATCACTATCCTTTTTTCAACAGTCAGTGTCCCCTTCCCAGGCCAAAAGACATATGCCCAGGTTGCATTTGGATTGTGCTCAACAAGCTCTTCATTACCATGGGACAAAGTGGTAGCCCAAATTCCGGTGGACAGCAGAACTCCAAGGGATTCCAAGAATTAGGCAAATCAAGATTAAGTCAGGAATAAAAGATTGCTTTTCCATGAAACCTCCACAAATGCCCAGGCCAGGGGAAAAGTAACATATAAATGAGCTCATGTATAAAGTCACCTCTCACAGTGTCTTGTGCATATCAAGCATGTAATTGATATCTGCTGATACTATGACTACGTACTTCTATGTTGCCATACTAAAACGAATAACCCATAGTTCCCAGTAAATCCCGGAAGAGAGCAGGGAAGGATGTCACAGACCTGTCTGCTGTCCTCCTACAGAGGAGGGCCACCCGTCAGTGACCATAATTTCAGGTGTTCTCATTCTAGGTTCCTCAGCGAGCTTCTGATCTGTTTTTAAGTCTCTCTCCTAGGAAACTGGCATGCTAAGGGCTCAAGTGACTGCCACAGCCACCTGACAATTAACTCTCCATGTGATTAACTAACACACTGATGCTCTGATTTGGGGGAGCTTGGGTTTCCAGTGACATCTGGGTGAGCTGATAAAAATCACATTTCCAAGTTGGGTTTGGTGGCACATGCCTGTTTTCCCAGCACTCTGGAGGCTAAAGCAGGAGGATTGCTGCGAGTTCAAGGCCAGCCTGGGCTGCATAATGAGTTTAAGGCTGGCCTGAACTACATAGCAAAACCCTGTCTCAAAAGAAAAAAAATCGCATTTCCAGATCAGAAAGCCAAGTGACCAGAGCTCAGAGTAGATATATAGCTCAAAGGTAACCAACTGTCAGTTCTCTAACATGGGCCCTGGTCCTCAGGACTCTGCTAATCTGCATTTGCTGAAACTAGAGTAAACCGACATCAGAGAGCCTGGGATGGTGAGGTTACGGCCTAGGAAGAAGCCCAGTCATTGTCCCTTTTCCATGGAGAGAGAGTAGCATTTGCCTGAGTCGTTGGACCTGGGGTCCAGCATCCTGGGAACCGAATAGAGGTGCTTCGGGGGAGATTGTCCCCGCACCTTCCTGAAGGCCCCGCCCTGTCTCCTCTTGTGTCAGGTGTGGCAGTGCGGGGGCCGGCTGGAGATCGCCCCCTGCTCTGTGGTGGGCCATGTGTTCCGTAGCAGGAGCCCCCACACCTTCCCCAAGGGTACCAGTGTCATTTCTCGCAACCAAGTCCGCCTGGCTGAGGTTTGGATGGATGACTACAAGAAGATTTTCTACCGAAGAAATCTGCAGGCAGCAAAGATAGCCCAAGAGGTGAGAGAAGTGGTGTTTGGATGAAGAAGAAGTACAGAATCTCATACTTTGGTCAGGGGCCTAAGGACAGGGACCACCCATCTCCACCTCCCAGAGCCCTGTGAGCTCAAGCCCTTGGGAGGGCCTTGGGTGTATAGATCTTGAAGGCTAAACAAAGAAGAAAGGAACCTTCGTTGGTCCTACCTGGGAGGGGAGAGGAGGGAAAAGAGATTTAGAGAAAAAGAACCTCTTAAAGGAGGAATGGCTCTGATAAGCTAGAATTGGGGAGCTGGGATCTGCATGGGAGTCATGGGAGATGAAGGAGCTGGTGGGGGTATGAGTGGGGGCTCCCCAGCCAATACCAGTCTGGGACTAGATGTGAGGCAGAGCCAGTAGCTCCAATGGGGTCCTGAGCAGGAATAAGAAGGAGAGGAAGTGGTATTGGGAGCTCTGTGCTATGTGGCTGGAAGGTCAAGACTGTGGAATTTAGAGGTGCTGGCTTGATTGGCAGAAATCCTTTGGTGACATTTCGGAACGACTGCAGCTGAGGGAACAACTACACTGTCGTAACTTTTCCTGGTTCTTGCACAACATCTACCCAGAGATGTTTGTTCCTGACTTGAATCCCACCTTCTATGGAGCTGTAAGTTTGAGAACTAATATGTCTACCTATCATCACAGCGTCCGCTGTAGAAGTTAAAGACCGCCTACCCTACCAATGAATGGCAGTCAATAACTGACTTTTACTTGCCACCATTTTTTATTCAGGAAGGGGATGGAAGGGCCATTTTGGGGATTCTAGAGATAGCTTAAAAATCTGACAAGGAAAACCACCCTTAAGCAGTGATTTTCAAATGTTGGTATGTACCAGTCACCAGGAGAGCATGTTGAAGTCGACTCTTGTGCCTCATCCCCAGAGTTTCTGATTGAAGATTGGGATGGGATCTGAAAATCTGCATTTCTGCCAAGTCCCAGGTGACGCCAACAGTCTGGGTATTATTCTTTGAGAACCACTGCTCTAAGGAAAGTCCCATGTGCTGAAGTCTTCTTCCAAGGAATGTAGGGTCCTGAGAAGTTTCCCATCTTATCCCCATAGGTGTCCAGTCCTGTCCTTCTCAGGCTGAGGTACTCTACACCTCACTTTGCTATTCACGTCAGGCATCGGGATTAATGAACAGGAGAGGAAAAACCACAGAAGGGAAACCCAGCCGTGCAAATTTGTTCCAATGTGGTTGGCCCCATAACACAACTAGGAATCTCCCAGCTGTGCTATCCTGGTTCCCCTATCTACTTACCTTTCTGCAGATCAAGAACCTTGGCATCAATCAATGTCTGGATGTGGGTGAGAACAACCGTGGAGGGAAGCCCCTCATCATGTACTCCTGCCATGGCCTTGGCGGCAATCAGGTAGACAGCCCACCCATACCAGGCAGGCAAGTCTAAGAGAAGGCTGACTCTTGGGCACCTCCTCTCCTCATGGGCTCCCTTCCTGTGCCCTAAGTAGTCCTTTCCTGAGGCCTAGGATGGAGGACACCCAGAAAAGGAAAAGGAGGTACCATCCCTACCTCGGGAAGTTTCAGGAAGTATGAGTGGGACTACATGACACAAATAGTCTGATGTCTCAGTTTGGGACAGAGTGAGCACTGACATCAGAGCTGGTGCTGGAGAGTGATGGGAGGGAGCACTTAATCAGAGAAGGCTCACTGGAGGAGTCCAGGGACTGGGTGATATTTATGGGTGGGAAATTTGTTCTCTCTATATATAGACTTATTCTGATATAACCAGATATGGTACACATCATGATGGCAAAACAAAAGTTACAAAAAATCTTGGCATGGCCACATTCACTTGCTTTATTCCATCTGTGGTTGGCATTTTAGGACAAGTGGCTTTGGAAGGTGGTGGGAAACCTCCCTTTACCTGTTCCTGAGGTTCTTGTCTTATCTTGACTTCCAGTACTTTGAGTACACAACCCAGAGAGACCTTCGTCACAACATTGCCAAACAGCTGTGTCTACATGCCAGTGCTATCACACTGGGCATCAGGAGCTGTCACTTCACTGGAAAAAATACCCAAGTGCCCAAGGATGAGGAATGGGAATTGACCCAGGTGAGTCAGTTGCCCAGAGAGCTTAGAATTAAGCTGGTTATGGTGGTGCACACCTATAATCCTACTTGGGAGGCTGAGGTAGGAAGATGGCTGTGAGTTCAAGGCCACCCTGAGCTACATAGCAAGTTAAAGTTGGGCCTGGACTGCATAGGAAGACTCTTTCAAAACAAAAGAGGCTTGGAATCAAGACCCAGAGGCCACATTGGCCCCTTCCTTATTCTCTGTATCTTCTGCCTGGGACACAGTGGGGGGGATTAGGGCCATGTAATGGTGAGTGGGCTTGGTCACAGCAGGTTCTCAGGACTTGAATAATAATATTTGGTGTTGACTGGTTCTGGCTGATATAAACACGGGGCCAGAAAGTGTGGCCCACACCCAGTTCTACCATGGCACAAGCATTTTTTTTAGAATTTGTCTTAGCATTTTTAGATTGAACCAAAGTCGATAATTGCAAAGGGTTATTCATGGTTCCTGCCTGCGTCTGTGTGGCATGTGCAAAGTGAGGCAGTCATATGCATTAGCTTGGTTATTCTTTTAGGGGCTCTTTCCAAATAGGCAGTGCCCCATTTCTACAAATGAGCCAAATAAAGCCCAACAAGCTTGTGACTGGCCCAAGGTCCATCACTAGGAAACAGCAGGGTGGGAGTCAGACTTCGGCAAGTTGGACTTGAAAGCATTTGCATTTTCCACAGTCCCACACTGCCTCAGCGTATACATCACTCCAAAGCACTGAGCACAAACTCCATTCCACTCAGGAAGAAAGCCTAGCCTTGAGGATACAGGGAAGGGAGGAGTCAAAATATAATCAAATACACAAAATGGGGAGTGGGCAACAGTGGCCTCAGGTCTTTGAACCTGGCAATCCAGGAGGCCTTGAAAGCATTTTTCTATTAGCCATGGTCTTGCTTTCCTCTACTTGCCTTCCAGCCACTCAGGCTAAAGCCGTGGGTGGGGAATTGGCACGAGACACAGGGGGAAACTTAGGAATGCATCTCTCAGAGTGTCTGCATTCCAGGGATGGAATTAGAAGTATCCTCTTTGTGCCTTGTTAGGCTTCCTTTGTCTGTGTGTCTCCTGTCTCAACCCACTCCACCCCTCAGTAGCACTGTTAGAGGTCTGCAGCCCAGGCTGACCCTTTGCTGTGTTGTTTTTAGGATCATCTCATCAGGAACTCAGGATCTGGTACCTGCCTGACATCCCAGGACAAAAAGCCGGCCATGGCCCCTTGCAATCCGAGTGACCCTCACCAGCTCTGGCTCTTCGTCTAGGCCCTCGATCATCCCCACTGTAAGCTCCCCTTACCCTCCAAGTCCTCTCAGGAAGCAGGATTGCCGATGTCTGAGAACCTGATCATCAGTCCTCTGTAGGCCTTCAGGATGCATTTGTAAACCACATGGATGTCAAGGCAGGACCTTCTTGCCCCTTGCAACAACTCGGCCCATTTTCTCTCCCCCACACTGATAGAAGAGAGTATGTGGACACACCTAAAGCTTTCCTTCTGTTCTTGAACCAAAGGCCTCCAGAGCAGAGGGCAGCAACCCGGAGGTCAAGAATACCTCTGCAGCCTTGTCTTGAAGCCTTGGTCAGCCAAAGCACCTGCAGAATTTTGTGAAATAGTGTGATCTAAGACAGGGGTTTGAGGTCAAAGAGACGCTCCCCTGCTAATACCTGGTATGTAAAACTGATTACAGTTTACAGAAAGCACCCAGTTAGGTGTCCTTTATCTTATTTAATTTGCACAATAATCTTGTGAGAAAGACAGGATGAGAACTACTGTGTCCATCTTACAAGTAAGAGAGCAGAGGCAGAGAGAGGTAAAGTAGCTTGTCTACAGTTGCAAAGTAGTGGCTGGTTGAAGCTGGCTCTGAGGCTCAGTCTTCAACACTGAACCATGACTCATTACACTTTGCCACAAGAACACTAGGCAACTGGCCGGCAGTTTCCCATTCCCTCTTTGTCCCGTTCTGACTTTGGAGGTTCTGTCAGTCCAGTCGAGGTTAACAAGAGTCCTGGCAAGACTGAGGAAGCAGAGACACTGGGAAGTCAAGCAAGACTGATCCCATCTGCTGTGCTTGCATGAAGTTCTGGTGGGAAGCAGACCCGATGTATGTACCAGCTGTTCTCCAAGCAAGGTGAACTGGACTCCAGTGCACCTGGCTGCTTTGTCTGATAGAGCTCCCCTTGTCTGGAAGAAAACTGAAATTCTGTCCAGGTCTTTTGATGTCAGTAGCAGGCTGTGACCACATGAGGGTGCCCTGGGACCACCTCTGCCTCCTGTTCTCACCCAACATGGCAAGAGGCCCCTGGGAGCCTTCAGCACTCCATAAAGGAGACACTCTGAGGTGCCCCGGCCAAGGGGAAAGGAGAAAGTGGCCAAGACAGGACCTGGAGTGGGAAAAGGAGAAAGTTCTACCTCTGAAGAGAAGAGTTGGAAATGGGAACCCAGTGGAAATAAAGGTTTTATGGCATTGGTAGAGGAAGTTTGCACTGGACTTCTTTTCCCCTGAACTCTCTTAGCTGAATACATTAATTCAGGCTGGGAAATATCACATACACTTGAGGAGCACTGTTACACCCTGTCCTTTCCCCTAAATACCCTCTGGCCCCAAGGCTGTCCTGTGCAGTGGGTGTCAAGCATGTGTGAACAGGCAGAGATGCAAGATGAGGTCCTTCCCCCACAGGACTCCCAGGGTAAATGTAGACAAGTCAGGGAAGTCTGGAGATGTCTGAAAATGCACTATATGAGTTACAAGGGAGAACTTCCACTTAAAGGAATCAGGAAGGGCCTCACAAAGACCGGAACATTTGACCTCACTGGTAGAGAAGACTCAGGTAAGAAGGACTCAGCAAGCAGAAATGTCACACAGAGCAGCCATCTAGCATGAGCATAGCTACAGAGGGACAGAAATACAAGTGGCCCTAAGAGGACATGATGGTGAGTGAGAAATGAAGGCTGTGTTTTGACTTTGGAGGGTGCTAAGCACTTTCGCTTTCCCGGGACCCTTGTTCCACTAAAAGAAATGACAGTGTATTTTATGAACGCACTGGTATAAAAGTGAATATAATCCAGGTTCTATTCTGATCTTTAAAAAATCTAAAACATTTTTGTGAACCCCTTTGAAGTATTACAGGCCCTAGGCACTGTGCCTACCTGGCAAGTCTGCCCTATAAAAGAGTGGATTGGGGCCCAAATGAAAAGGCTTTGACGACCATTCTAATAACTCAGGTTAACCAGAGTCATAATCCACAATCCTGACCTTACTCTTAGGTGCATTAAGCATCCAGACATTTATCAGGCATGGATCACTTACCACTTATCCTAGTGCATCTCATCATGTCTGTGGCATCACCCAGTACCTCCCAGCTTGATCATATTGAGCCCAACCAAGGTGCTGCTCGGTTGTGATGCCAAGAATCTTCCTTACCCCTGCCCTAAGTGAGTTAAGAGTAACTCACAAGTTCAACTGGAGGGATCCAGGGCCGCATGCCATGCCCAGAGTAGGCCCATACATGAGGCCTGGGGAAGCCAAGAAAGGGAGGTGGTCAGGAGGAGGAAGAGGGTGCTGACTGGATGGTGGGGAAACTAAGGAACTAGTTTCTTGGTCTTCCCCTTAGCAACAGCTAACCTTGCCTTAACTCAACACCTGCATTATTCCTTAAAACCCATCCTGCCCCCTCCCCAACCATTCTCAGAGCTAACCAAGGGCCTCACCTCTTAAAACCTGCTCCTAGCCCTGTGCAGCTATTTCCCAGCACCAGACCACTGAAGCACTGATCCCATCTGGGTACTTGAAGAGTATTTGACCATTGCCCCAAATAGCTAAATATCTCCATTTATTACTTTTAAACAGAAGTAATGCTATAGAGAAAATTCAGATCATATAGAAAAATAGGAGGTCAAAAAATTCAACTGAGTGTGGTGGCACATGCCTGTAATCCCAGCAACTCTGGGAGGCTGAGGCACAAGGATTGCAAGTGTGAAACCATTCTGGGCAATTTAAAAGTCAGCAAGATTCTGTCTCAAAAAAAAAAAGTAATTTGTCCTCATGGTGTCCTACACCTATTGATTTATACTCTAGAAGTAATAACTGTCTACATCATAGGTGTCCAGACTTTTGACGTGCCTGGCCTGCAATGCAATAACTGAAGAGGAATTCTCAGGCCTCATATAAAATGTATAATATACTTTTGTTTTTATTGTTTTTATTTTTGTTTTGAGACAGGGTCTTGCTATGCAGTTCAGGCTGCCCTTGAACTCACTATGCAATCCAGGCTGTCCTCAACCTCCTGCCTCAGTCTTCTGGGTGCTGGGATTACAGGCCTGCGCCATCACACCTAGTGTAAAATGTGTAATATAGTTAATGTATGTAAGTAACGAAAACTTATTTTTTATATTTTATTTTATTATATTACTTTATGAAATAACAAGCCCATGTTAATAATTAAATAAGAAAACTTATTTGTCTGCTTAGTAACAACGCCTGTCTTCAGAGGCACACATGTAGGTAGGTTGAAATAATGTTGGTAATTGCTGCCTTTTACTCACCAAGTATAAGACCGAGGGCCTTACCAAACACTCCCAGGAGCTGACTGTAGCGAAGAACACCCGGGAAGGAACACACCCGACAAGTTGGAAAAGTAAAACAGACCTTTATTAGTCTGGCCAGATGGCACTCTCCAAGCAACAGGCTTAGAGAGGGCCCCGAGTTCAGGGGGTTGGAAGGTTTTATAGGGGCTGCAGGGGTGCTTAGCAAGCAGAACT